AAAAGGAAAAATAAAGAAAAAGAAAAAGAAAAAGAAAAAGAAAAAGAAAAAGAAAAAGAAAAAGAAAAAGAAAAAGAAAAAGAAAAAGAAAAAGAAAAAGAAAAAGAAAAAGAAAAAGAAAAAGAAAAAGAAAAAGAAAAAGAAAAAGAAAAAGAAAAAGAAAAAGAAAAAGAAAAAGAAAAAGAAAAAGAAAAAGAAAAAGAAAAAGAAAAAGAAAAAGAAAAAGAAAAAGAAAAAGAAAAAGAAAAAGAAAAAGAAAAAGAAAAAGAAAAAGAAAAAGAAAAAGAAAAAGAAAAAGAAAAAGAAAAAGAAAAAGAAAAAGAAAAAGAAAAAGAAAAAGAAAAAGAAAAAGAAAAAGAAAAAGAAAAAGAAAAAGAAAAAGAAAAAGAAAAAGAAAAAGAAAAAGAAAAAGAAAAAGAAAAAGAAAAAGAAAAAGAAAAAGAAGACATATCTCTTGAGAACTCTGAGATTTAGTTCCCATCTTGAGATGGGATAGGCTTTCTGGGTGGGATTAGGTTGAAGTTCACTTTGTTTTACAGAAAAGGTGATGTTATTACTCCTTAGACTGGTATTGTAGTCATTCTCACATTTTCTCTGTCATCAGGGAAAAACAGGCTCTACTTGGGAAAATTAATTTAATTTTTTACCCATTGAAAACAGAGTTGGATAGTGAGAAACAAAGACAAAAACTGAAACACCTTCCCCTCACTCCCAATTCTTCCCAGGCTCTATTTCACTTCTTCATTTCTGCTCATGTTGGCAGCTGTGGAAGTATCTCGGAAAGCTTCTTATTTCTGACCTAGCAGCCTCATTCACATTTTAAATCTTGCTGACTTCCACTGACAAATGTGGGCAAAAGGCTGCTTGTGAGGTAATCTAGACTATAAATAAGCAAATGTAAATACATCCACATTCTGTGAGTACCATTCTGATAGGGCATAGTTGTCTTTAATTAAAAAGATTCAAACTATTTTTGCCTCATTATCAATTACTTTAAGATTAGTGCTGAGTTTCTTTATTTCACTGCCTTTTCTACTTTAATTTTGGATCCCAAAAGCTAAGAGAAGTTTCTTTCCACATAAAAGAAGTTGCACAAACATTGCCTATTGTCTCTGAGCATCTTCCTTTATGACACAGCAGATGCTGGCGGAAAAGAGAGTGAAGTGCATGCTGACAAAAAATTTTCTGAGGATATACTTTTTTAATCATTTTCATGATTGAACTGTTAGTTTACTAGGAAGCAGTAGTTGTTACAACACTGTTTTTTCACCACACTATAGAATTTGACAAATAAAAAAACCCATCAAAATTTTTAAAACAATAATGAGATCTCATTCTATATCAGATCCACTTGAATTATCTGGTAGTGACCTCCAAAGTTTCTGTAGGGTTACAGCTTCTGTAACCATAATTATATGGCATTCGAGCCTCAGGAAACAGAGATATACATTCCAATACGACAAAGACAGATATTTCCCAAAGACTGCCCTGAGCTCAGAAATGCCTCTCTGGAAAAAAAATAAAATTAAAAAGTCATTCTCAAAACAGACTTCAGCATTCTTTTTTCTTTTTTTTTTTTTTTTTTCCCATTAAAACAGTAGCTAGGAAAAAAATTTTGATGTGCATTCAGTTGTTATGACAATACTCAAACTTCTGTGTCAGCCCCAAGACAGTGCCTAGATCAGGAAGTCACAGGCAATAAGTTTTCCTGACAAAGATATTTTGGACTTTTTTTGAGGGAGGGTGGGATGGACATATACATTTCCCCCAATTCTTAATTTCTGGATGCTACAATGACACACAGCATAAGCATATGATTCTATGGATGACTTCCATATTTCTTATAGGCTAGCATGTGATATTGACTCTTCTTTCCCTGTTAGTCTTGAGGATTTAACTTTTTGGCTTTTTTGAAAGCAGATAGGACTCATGTAACTTTACATTTCTCAGAAAACTGTCTTTTATTTTTGCCCAGATGAGCAGCTCTACTGGACACTGTTAGTGATAAACTTGTCATTAAATATTGGCTTCTTCAGGGTTATCTTTACAGCTCAGCTTGGAACACAGATGACCTTTAACTGTTTAACAAGGCTAAAAGTAATCTAGATTGCTGATGGCAAAAATGATCTTTAGAGTTTGATGAATTGTAAGAAAGCATTTTTACAACTTCGTTCTGCTGATTTGTTGCAGAGAAAGAAGTATTCCTCCCCTCTTCTCGTGCTGTTCTAATAACCTGAAATAGTGGCAATTGTTGCTATTATGTAGGCAAAACTGTTGTGTGTAAAGCAGTATTATGTACTATGAGAAAAGAGGTGCATCTAACAGGAGATAATACTAACACGTGCTCTCATAAATCTGTTTCGGTTGCTCTGGATTTTATTTTTCCCAATCCCTTGTACGCACTGAAGAGTGACAGTTGAGATGATTCACTTCAGTTCTGTTAGTCACAGGTAAATGAGCATCTTCTAAATTTATAGACGAGACAGATAGTTGACTGCAAGTTATCTGGGTGAACTTCAATCCAGAGAGGCTGAGGGTGAAGAAAAAAGGAGTAGAAAATTATATCACTGAATTAGACAGTGCTCACTAGACCTTTTCCTTATAAGGCAAGTAAGATACATAAAAAATACCCAGTCAAAAATAGGGTAAAGAGCTTCTCAGTCAGCTTTCTGCCCTTGGCAAGGAGTTAAAGACCTCTACACTCCTAGTTATTAAACTGTCTGCGTTTATCCAGACATTTGTCAGCTCTAGATTGTGTTAGCAAAATGTGTCCTGACATCTTGAAAGTTGCTTAGAAATAAAAAGTTGTGAAGAACAATTTTTCCTTTTATATATCTTATAAGAAAGTCTTTAGAGAAGCTTTCATTTGCTTCTAATCCATAAACTACACCAAATTTATTTGCTCACAGTGCTTTTAATCCCACATAGTCTATATTCTCCTCATTGTGATCACAGGAAATAGGTAAATCATTTTCATGCAAAATAAGTGAATGCTGAAAAAATGTAGTTATTGTTTAACGGGATTATTTTCCAAATAGGTGGATAGTTTTGATCAAGAGAGAAAAAAAACCCTCTAGAATTTCTTATTGCAAAACTGAATTAATTTTTTAAAAGCATCTTAAAAATTAGTTAGGATGAGAAAAATTTTTGTATTCAATCTGACTTCAGATACCTGGAGGTTGTCATCTAAGCAGAAAATGAGCACAGGGAAATTTACTTTAGGATAATTTACTGATTAAGCCAAACCTAAGAATCGTAGCAGTTACCTACCTTTTAAGCAGATAGTTTCAACTGAGATCATGTTATTACCAGAGAACTATCTTCAAACCTGTTTGATCACCAAAAATACCTAATCCTGTGTTTGATTTCAAAGACGTGTCAATTCTTATGCCTTTGGTCATGTTTAACTGAAGCATGAAACTTTAGTGATAAAGATTTTAGTTTTAGTCATGAGGAAGATGAAACTTTATTCTACTATTTGCTTGGATAGGATAACACTGGATTTGTCCACTGGATGCTGTTCAGTTTTTTACTGAATTCAATACTGAAACCACTATATGTGGCTTACGATAAGTAGATGACTTAAAATCTACTGATTCCTTGTTTGGTACTCGTTTAGGTACATCTGTTGTTCAAGTGACAGCCACAGATGCTGATGATGCCAACTACGGAAACAGTGCCAAAGTGGTGTACAGCATCCTCCAGGGACAGCCATATTTCTCAGTGGATCCAGAAACAGGTTAGCAATTCACACAGTCTTACTTTTTGCAGCAGCAGAGACAAGATGCAGAGATCAAGACACTTCTCCCTTGCATTTAAACATTTGAATGGGTGTATGGCTTCATATGACTTGACATAAAGCTGATGCACTTTTTCTAAACGGAAACTGAAATCACAATAAAAGTATGCCTTTTTTTTTTTGTTAAAATAATATTGCAGAAGAAGAACTGCTTTACTTGATACTAGTCTGGCAGGCAGACAGTTTGGGGGAGACCCGGGCTCTCATCTTTGTTTCTGGGATTATCTTTCGTTTTTATCTAATTTACTTTTTAATCTTACATATATTAACAAGCCTAGGTATGGCAGACAGAACCTGGTAATCCTGGATTGGGCATAAATGCTACAACTACCAGACTACAGAGGTGATTTTTTTCCTTTGCTTCATCCTCTTGCTAGGAGTAGGAGTTTTCCAGGGTTGCTTTTTTTTTTGCATATTAGGACAGTTTCCATATCAAGACAAGCTTGTAATGAGAGCCTTCTTCCAAGAACGGAAAGGCATGGTTGTGAATCCTCCAAACAAAAAAGGACATTATATTTAAATTCTCTCACTTCACAAGAGAAAGCTCTCATTGCTTCAACACTGCAAATCCATCACCCTTCTAAATAATAAAAAAAAAAGTTCTACTTGGTTTTCTAAAAGAAAATATGTGTGTGTCCACTTTAATGAGAATGTCTTTTGGGCTCTGGATCCCAGGAGGATTGAGTAACTTCTCTGTTCAGGCTATAGGATTTTTGGTTTTCTCACCTGACGTCCCTACTCTTTTGGTGTGCTTTACAAGACTGAGACAAATAAATTACATTCATTAAATTCTAGAGACCAGACACCTAAAGAAGATTTTCCAACACTAATTTTAGAGTCTTGTTCTATTCTTTTATTAGTTATAGCCTTAGCTGACTTATAGTGGCCATCACTGGGCATTAAAATCTACGATCTATTACAGTGTAAAAGAATGAATCCAGGACATGTTAGAGTCTAGTCCTGTGCTATAATATCAAAACCTCACAAGAGCTGGAGATTATATAATGCATTAAAATGATAACTTGGGGTAGCAGATGAAAAATTCCATTAAATAAAAAAATTATTTATATTCGTGTCATTAAAAGAATAATTAAATTGATTTAGCATATCATAAACAATGAATAATATATCTATTACATTTATTTATCCTTTTTTTCTTAAAATCACATTAAATCAGCCATAGATTGAAAAGCTTATTACAGTATATCCTGTTTTGATTGCTATGGATTAACGTCTGCTATGTATATCTTACAAGAATCCATTTTAAAACTCTGAGATTAAAGTGCGTGGTGTTTCTTCTCCTTCACGTCTGTCTCTGTTTTTTCTTCTCCAAGGTGTAATCAAGACTGCTTTACCAGACATGAGCAGAGAAAACAGGGAACAGTATCAAGTGGTCATCCAGGCCAAAGACATGGGAGGCCAGATGGGAGGACTATCAGGGACCACTACTGTGAACATCACGCTGACTGATGTCAATGACAATCCACCTCGCTTCCCCCAGAGTATGGAGCATCTAATAGTTCTGTTGTTTTCCAAAGAACCTCTCTAAAATCAGCTGTTTCACTGTCACCATCTGGGATCTTCTTTTTTGTCCTGGGTTGTTTTTTTTTTAGTATAAATACTGACCCACTGCTATGTCTGTTTATGTTGCAGCATTATTAAGACAAATGAGAATCTCTGCCTCCAATTTTTTAATAGCAAAATATGTTTTGGAATGATAAACTTACTTCTCATTCTTAATTCACAGCATACTACAGATCCTTTCATGCTAAACCACTGGTTTAAATCCAGTCCTGAGTTGTTACAATCAGTGTCTGATAACAGTTCGATAGGCTGCAGACAAAAGAAATATACAGCCTCAGTTCAATGCCTGCTGGAAAAATGTCCACATTATAAAATTTGAATTGCATATCGGCACTGATTAGGGACCTCACTGGCTCTCTTTATAGATTCATCAAGGACTGAGCAGAGTTGATTTAGAAAACATTCTCCTGGACTTGAAGAAACTTATAAAGCATTTCAGTACCATGGCAATAAGTACATTCGGAATAGTATAAACAGGTCAACCTAGAACAGATTTTTAAAAATATTAGAAAATTCTGACAGTGTGGGAGAAGGGATTCTTGAAAATGCATATAACTACTTTTATCTCTATTCATGATAACAGATTGCTTTTTAAAAAGAGAGGGGAGGGGAAGCACTGCAGTCCTCATGAAGAAAATATAATTCTAATTCACACTCAAAGTTCACTTGCTGAGAATCATGTTCACATGGCAAACTCAAAAAGCAATTCTTAACCAACCTTCCTGTTTGACTTCAGGAGGGAATACTGCTTGAACACATACAGAGTGATATAGTCCCTAACATTTTGGCAAACAGGAATTCTTGAACTTAAATTAGAATGTAGTGTTGCACATTGTATTGTAAGCTTTGTTGTTGAATTGAATGAAAATAAATAAAAATAAAGAATGAAGAATGCATAGAACTGCAAAACAGCTTAAGATTCTCGGTCACCTTAGCCTTTGCTCCTTATGATGCTCTTCTTTAAAGATTAGCTGAAATCTGAAGTCTATGGAAGTTCTGATTATTTCCATTAGCTTTGAATTTGATACTTAATTATACATAAATTTACACAATTTGATGCCTCATACAATATTCTTTGTAACTTTCTACTTTGAATAGCACTGAAACACTTTGGATGGGCTATAGAAGACCTGCTGTGGGATCTATTCAATGGTTCAATTTTCATTTTGCTGATGACCCTTCCCTCTCATTTTCTTTTTCCCCAGCAGGGTGTTTTTAAACACTTCCTAGGATATCAAACATAGAGAAACACCTGGAGGTTTTGATTTCATCTTAGATAGTTATGAAGTGGGGTATAACCTTCAAAGAACTATCTAGTTCTGGAAGTCCGCTCCTTCCAAAACCAATTATCTTTCATTTTCTCTTATGTAAGGCAACATTAAGTAAAAATATGGCACAAAGCAGAGGGTGAATTGCAACTGAAACCAACAGGAATTGTCAAGGTACTGAAGAAATAAAGATTGATTTCTTACAGGAATAGAAGAAAGGAAAATGGCAGAGTGCACTATGAGTGTACTGTTTTTTCAGACTGCATTAAGAAGGAAAAGATTTTCTGTTTTGTTTTGTGTCCTGAAAGGAATCCTGGACAGTTAAAAGACATTGGCCTAAACTGAGTTTAAACAGCACTATAATGAAAATCGTATACATTCTGAATTTATTTGTACTCTAAACCAAAATAGCCATCTTGCATGCTGAAAGCATGTAGCACTTACATAGCATCACAGAAACAAGGAATGCTTTCAGATGCAAAAGCACTCAAGGGAATTATTTCTTCTGAAAGAAGTAGTAAGTAGCATGATTAAACCTGTTCTTGCAGTATTTTTGGCTTACTTGCCAAAACTTGGAATTTGAGCAAGTCTTCAAACTTACAGTTAGCTGCCAGGAATCCTAACTTTCATCCCATTTTCAACCTGGTTTAAGGGGATAACATATATTTTTAGTCGATGTGGATTGCAGCCGAACAATCTACCGCTGAGTTTTCACTTACAACCTTGAATTCGTAAGAGCAAATACAATTTAACATCAAGCATTAGCTTCCATTTTGTTACACAGCTATATAAATATACAGTATTTAGAGTGACTTTTTTTATACATAGTCCGTACAATTGAGGATAGAAACTCATTCAGCACTCAGATGTTTGGTATAGTCCTTGTACTTAAAAGGAACCTTCAGAAGCCTTTAGGTGACTTAAAAGAAAGCAAAGAACATGTAAATATAAGAAATAGGCTAGTTGCAAGAGAGATATCTGATTGTACTTCACTCCAAAACAATACAATTTATACAGGTTCTTATTGAATCCTTCAAATAAAGATTATGTGTTTTGTCAGCTCCGGAATCTTAAAGTATATTTCCAGTGCTACTACTTTGCTTAGTAAATTAATATTAATTTATATGAAAAACAGATCAAAAGAAACATCAGATTCTGAAACATCACATTTAAAATGTTGAATATATCAGAATTTTTTAAAATTTTCCTGGTAGCGAATAACAGAAAATAATGATTTAGAAACATTTGTGTCTTGCTAGTGATGAAAGATCTTTGTTGTCCAGTTCTGATTGGTCAAGAAAACCATCTGATTAATACTTTTCTGCAACAGTATGTCTTTATAATTAGTTTTTTATTGCAAGTATTGTCAAAAATACATACAAATTCACTTTTCATACACACAGGCAAGATTAAAATGTCTGTGTAATCAGAATTCTTTCTATCAAACTCTGATTATAAAAATGTTAAATAAAATCAGCCATTGAAAGAACACAAAAAGTATGAGGAGAGTAAATTAAAGAAAATCTGAATGTATCTGCATTTCAATTAACTATAGCAATTAACACAAACAGATATCCAAATGTTCTTTACTATGACTCTTTAGTATGTATTAGTATGAATTACTTTCACACAGAATACCTACAAATCTCTAATATATTTTTCAAATTAAAAAAATGCCCATTCTGTTTTAGTCTCTTTCCAAAATCCACACTGGTTTATACAACTCTCGTGGTGTAAGAAAACAAAATAAAACCCCCTGCTACTTCTAAATATATCTGGGAACATTTCTTGAAAATCAAGAGAAAAAACATCCCAAAACTATTAAATAATCGTGGTTAGAATTGATGCCATATTGTTGAGCTTCTCTGTTCCCTATATCTGAAGAACAAAAGCAAAACAAAAAATACCACAAACAGACAAAAACATTAAAACCACAGTACTGAATGACTTTGAAGAATCACTTGAAATTTTTGTGACTGTTTGTCAATCAACTCTGTTTTAAAGTTTAGTATGATGACTAACAACGTTTTTCTCAGTGTTTCAAACTTCAAGTTACTTTAGAAATCCAGGTGAAAGAGTAAGATGTTTATTATTCAGAAGAACAAAACTTCTCTAAATAACAAATACTTGATTTCACTCTTCCAGACACCTACCAGTTCAGCTCTCCAGAGTCTGCACCACCTGGGACTCCTCTTGGCAGAATTAAAGCAAATGACCCTGATGTGGGTGAAAATGCAGAGATTGAGTACAGCATCTCCAATGGGGATGGATCAGACATGTTTGATATCATCACTGACAAGGACACACAGGAAGGGATTATAACTGTCAAAAAGGTTTATTCTTTCTCCCTCTCTTTTATATGTACTTAACTCTCCAGGTGTTAAGGTTATATTTCTTTTTCCAGTGAAAGGGAGGGTAGATCTCACAAAGGGTCAGGCTTCCAAGGAGTTGTGGTATTAGTTTTGTTCTTCTCTTTCTTCAGCAGATACCTGTTATTTTCAAGTCTCAAGGGAAATTCACTGGCATGTCACTTCACATAAAGCAATATTTCAGTGGCTACTGTCAGTTCAATACGTATACTCTCGCACACAGTACTTTCGAATCAGGGCTGTGAAAACTTGTGTGGGTTCAGTTCACAACGGGGTTCATCAGCTGAATGCTGTAGCAAGGCTAACAAGGGTTTGAGGCGCGCCTGAAACTTGATGGGTTTATACCTCTGAGATTAAACTGTCCCTCTCTAATCTGTCCAACAATCAGGTACCTCTAGCACCTAAAATCTCTCTTAGTTTAAGTCTAAATTTGGTGAAAATTAAGTTGTTACATGTTATGTCAATGGAATTCCAAAGAGCAAAGACATCAGCAGAATCTCTGACAGATTTCTTTGTTGCCTTTTGGTGTTCTGACTGTAAAACTCTGACCACTATTTTCAGTTCTATTCTGAACACACCAGTAAAAAATAATTTAAATCTACATATATATGTGATATAGAACTATACACATATATTTGGAAACATATGTATATTTACGAATGTGCAGGTATCTATATGTGTGCACATATGAATGTATATATACATATGCATATATGGAAATATATAATATAAATGACACATAGATTGGAAATCAGAATTCGTAGTTTTTCTTTTCACTCTGGAACACAGAGGCCAGAGATAGGTCTGGGTTTCTCTTCATGCAAAATAGGCAAGTGTAGCTGGTAATGGGGAAGAAGTAAGGAAAAAGGAAACAGGACAGAGCATCTCTTGGTGGGATAATTGTTCTTGTTCCTGCCAACGAGATGAGACAAATAAGCCCTTTAACACCTCCTACTTGTGAATTGAGTCCAACTTTTCTGCTTCTTTTTCTACTTTTCTATATATTGACCCCTCCTGGTTTTCCAGGAACCTGAACATGTAGTAAGCAGAGGGATAATAATTGCTTTGCTGCCCTATAATACTCGTTATTTTTCTTATATCTAGAACAAGCCCTAACATACTCCATCTTCTCCAAGATGCATTAAATTTTAGAGCTTTTGCTTCTAAAAACGCTTACAATTCTAATTCAGCATTATAAAACTGACTCACATTTCCTGTAAAGTGACACAATTTTCTTTATTATTATTATTTGCTCCCCAGCATCTGGATTTCGAAAACAAGATGTTATACACTTTAAGAGTGGAAGCAACCAACACTCATCCTGATCCTCGTTTTCTTCAGCTGGGACCATTCAAAGACACGGCTTTGGTCAAAATTTCTGTAGAAGACGTAGACGAACCTCCAGTGTTCAGCAGACCCTGGTATTTAATAGAAGTAGATGAAGATGTCAAGGAAGGAAATATTATCGGGCAGGTTGTAGCTGAAGATCCGGATATAACAAAAAATGCAATAAAGTAAGCTGTTACACAGTATAAAATATTTTAGATGTGGGTCAAGTCTCCTACACAAAGTGTGATGAGAGTGCAATGTAATAGGGAGCCACTTGAGTAATTAAGACCATAGAGTTACTGAAAAGTGTTGAGCAGGGAAATATCTATGGGAGCTTGTGAAGGTAAACACGTTTAACAGTGCAGGCATGCTACTGAAGGACAGCCTACAGGCACCAGGCAAAAAGAAAGGAGATGTCAGCATTTAACTGGCATCATATTCTAGTACTTTCACCAAACTGTTCATAAGATTTTGCTTTTATACCATGTTTCTAACAGTGAACTTACGTAAAGTACTCAAAACAGATTATTTCCATGCTCCCTGCTGGTTGATAGCAGTCAGCCTTCTGTACCTTCATAATCCCCTAGACATAATACTGTCTATCATGTTCCATAGTTTAACTATTTAATGATCACGTTATATTAAATAGGAAATGATTGCGAGAAAGTCATAACAATTAGAGGTAAGAGTTCAGTGCTGTGAAATTGCTGTAATTGTTAGCCATCTGCTATTATTATCTGCATTGACAAACACAACACTGAAATTTGTGTATTTACCATGTAACTGACTAGGAAACCTGATTTCTGCATTCCTGAACAAACCTGTTATGTCCTGCAGCATTACAGTGTGGGATAGGAGGTGTGAGAGAAGGAAGAAAAATAAATAATTTTAAGTAATCGATGTATAAAATCTCCATTTAACCTGATAGTGACTGGTAACTACTACACCAATTAAGAAACACTTGTAAGTCAGGATTTTGCTTGCTGGAAAAGAACAAAGCAAAAGCAAATGTCATAAAATAAGATTTTAAGAACTTTAATCTTAAATAACTAATCCAAAGATTTTTTTTTCTGGTGATTTTGATGGTCGTTATGACATCTCAAAAATACCTTGTTATGAATTGATAATTATATCTGCAATGTGTGTCATTTGATGACTGAGTTCTCCAGGAAACAATTAATTTGAAAAAATATTATCTAAGAATGTCCAATTTTAGTTGTTATTCCAACATTCACTTTATAAACCAAAATGTAATCTAAAATATCAATCTAACAAACTGCACACATAAATAGTTTCCTTTTCATCCTGCTCGCTAGTTTTAAAAAAATTGTTTCTCAGTATTTTTAACATGCTGCACTCCTCAGGCAGTTACAAGAAAGCTCAGGTTGATTGTAGAGAAAACATTCTTGATTAACCGCAGTTAAAATTAGAAAACTTTTAGATGTGGCTGTGAGCTAAACTAGAGATTGTAACAGGAGATAGTGATGCTCAGTTGTACTATATCTTGACAGATATTCTGTAGATCGACACACTGACCTTGACAGAATGTTCAACGTCTATTCAGGAAACGGATCCTTATTCATCTCAAAGCCACTTGACCGGGAAGAAACTCCCTGGCACAACATCACTGTCATAGCAACTGAAATCAGTAAGTTGGAGATCATTTATCTTGGAAGAACATTAGAACTCAGAAAAAAACTGAATTCTACAGTATCTATGATTTATCTTGTTTTCTAAGTTTTGTCCTTATTCAGATATTATCAACAGATAGAGTATCTTTAAATGCACATCTAAAAGTTCAATTTACTACTTCAGGATTATCTTTGCTCATTTATGAAAAGATAATTTGGGCTCAACAAAACCATGTACAGTATATATTAGACACGTTAACTGGTTCTCTGAGAATTCCAAGCAAATAATTTGGTGCAAGTGTGATACACTGGCTCTATCCTAAGCTAAGCCTTTGGGAATATCCTTGGAAAAAGAGATGTCCGTGACAGGCAAATAACACATTATCAGAATGACCACTGTAAACAGCAGAAGAAATTGTGCTCTATCTTAACAGCTTTAACTTATCTCAGTAAATGACTTCATTTGAAGACTAGAGGAAAATCTTTCCCCTTCATGTCTGAAATAAACTCTCTCTCTAAGTCTTTCACCTGGAGTATTTATTGTTCTGTTGGAAACTTTTAGATCTGAATGCCTCTTGCCTGTCTTTTCTTTCCAGCCATCTTATAACAGTCATCAGAGGGGAAACAGAGACACTGATTTTAGGGAACAACGATTCTCCCTATAGATTCCCCAGGAGTCTATATGCTTTACAGTCTGAGAGTCGGGTGATATGGATAGATGAATTATATGCCCATTTTCAGAAAGACCGATACCTTTTCTTCATAAATGCTTTTTCATTGTTTGGTCAAAAATTTGACCAAATATGGTCTCCATTTTCAATGTGTGTACTGTGAGATTCATCTCCAGTGATAGCTTAACCTCAGAGGTCAAGTTTGTGAAGGCCAATTGATGATAACCTCTACTTATCTCTATTTTTTGTTTTGATTTTCACATTTTAGGGAGAATAGACCTTTGAGGTTTGTTTTTTTTTTTTTTTGTGGTAGTGTTGTTGACCGGCACCGTTTAAATGCTTTACTTATATGAACAAGTAAATGTTTTTGACAACTCAACCTCAGGAAATAGCTTTTACAATGAATTTCTTACTGCAGGGATGTATGGAATGTACATCAATAATAACTCAGTGACCTGTTTTTCATGCAAATCAATTTAAGTATGCTTTTTATTATTTGAAAGTACATACACTATAATAGAACATTTTGTTTCAAATATAGATAGGGGTCTTATGCATATGGAATGTATGGTAAATCAAATACAATTGTTTTTAAATAGTCAAGATAAATGAAAATTTCTAGTGTCCATCGGAAAATAAAAAGATAATTTCAGTTTATTTTTCATAGAATTAGACTGTATATCATTGCATTGTAATATAAATAATTTTCTTGTTTCAGATAATCCTAAACAAAGTAGCCAGATACCTGTCTTCATCCGGATTTTAGACATAAATGATCATGCACCAGAATTCGCCAAATACTATGAAACATTTGTTTGTGAAAATGCAAAAGCAGGACAGGTAAACAAATACTTATGTTACTGAAGAACTTGTAATTAAACTCTCCTGAAATACCATCATGAAGACTTCAACATCTCTTAAATCGAAAAACTGCAAACCAATCCGACATTTTTATTCCCTACCTTCCACAGAAACTGCCAGTTGATTCAAAAAGTTTTGAAGAGATAAAAGATGCAGGATTTTACCTTAGTATAATAACATAGTACACAATACAAAATTGTACTTTAAGGTGTTTTTTCATCCCTAATATCAGAAAATATTTTTCAGAACTAGTTATGTGTAATGTTATAAACCTCTTTATACTGTTTGATAATTCCATTTCTTTCTGGATTTTTTTCAAATCCTTAGTTAATGTAACAACACCTTCAAGTACACAAAACAGGAAAATCTTTTATTATGCTTCAGTAAAAGAGATGTGAAAAATAATTTTTTTCACAAATAAAAGAAAATGCAACTGTTTCCATTGTAAGTTGAACTTGAATTTGGAGTTGAGTTGGATTTGATCAAAGCTCATGCATATCTCTTTCTAAACTATCTCAGCAACTCTGTAATAATCTAAAAAGATGATAAGATTTGTAGAGAAAATAAAGTGGCAACTGGGAGCTGAGAAAGGAGACAGAACAATGACGAGCAAGCCTATTGTTCCTGCCTAACGAGGGGACAACTGCTGTTGCTTACAGCTCGTTGGACAGGACTGAAGTGCTCCACCTTATTAGGGAGTCATGGTGGCTTCTCGGAGGAGGAGAAATTTGCTTTCTGCACCCGCTCGAAGGGATATTGGTGTTCAGGTCACAGGCTGTGAGGAATGTCATAGCTTTTCCCTGGTAGCTGGGAGCAATCCTGAGGATGGCTGTGTGAGGTGCGAGCAGGTTGATGACCTGCTAAACCGGGTGGTGCAGCTCCAGGATGAAGTGTTGGAGCTCAGGGAGGAGGTGAGTAGGTTAAGAATAATTAGGGAAAGTGAGAAGGAAATTGACAACTTCCATAATCTGATTGTGGCAAAGCTGAAAGAAGAAGTAGAGAGGTTAGAGGGGATCAGGGAAAGTGAGAAATTAGGGGACAGGGGGCAATGGCACAAGGTTCCTGCTCGGAGAGGCAAGCATAACTGCCTGGCAATTCCCCCGCCCCCCCGGCTGTCCTTGCATAACGGGTACGGTGCTCTGCAAGGGGAACTGGATAACACTGAGGATGATGGTTCACCCTGCTTGAGGTGTCACCAAAGCCTAGTCGGACTGCTATCGGCATTAAAACCTCATCAGTAAGGAATAAAAGATGGGTCATTGTCATTGGTGACTCACTGCTTAAGGGAACAGAAGGCCCGATATGCAGATCAGACCCGCTGCACAGGGAGGTCTGTTGCCTCCCAGGGGTCAGAGTTAAAGATGTAAGGAAAAAGCTTCCTTCCCTAGTATGGCCCTCAGACTATTGCCCCCTTTTGTTGTTTCAGGTAGGCAGTGAGGAATTAGTAAGAACCACTCCAAGGACAATGAAGAAGGACTTTAGAGCCTTGGGGCACTTGGTCAAGGGATCAGGAGCACAGCTTGTGTTCTCCTCTATCCTTCCAGCTGTGAGCAATGATGAGGAATTAGGCAGGAAGTACCAACAGATTAATACCTGGCTCTGAGCCTGGTGTATCTGGCAGGGGTTTGGGTTTTTTGACAGCGGCTGGATCTGCAAGAGGCCAGGTCTGTTAGAAAGGCATGGTAATAGCCTGTCCCACAGAAGGAGAAGAGTTTTGGGAAGGGAATTGGCAGGGCTCATAGACAGAGCTTTAAACTAGGTATGAAAGGGGGTGAGGGTGAAATCAGGATCACTGGAAGGGAGCCGAAATGCAGTATGCCAGTGCTTGTGGGGGAGGAATGCACTAGCAAGATCGTGCGGTCTTGTGAATTAGCAAGGGATCAAGGTGTCATGCCAGGTTGCAGACAGAGCACAGGGGTTGTTGAGGGGTTAGTTACTGTGGAAACATCTGAGCATCATCAGGGGGCTCCAGGTACCTCATCAGGGACCCAACTCAAATGTCTCTATATGAATGCCTGCAGCTTGGGCAATAAACAAGAGGAGCTGGAGATGCTTGTGAGCCTGCAGCACTATGACCCGATCGGCATCACAGAGACATGGTGGAATGACTCCTGCAATTGGTGTGTTGGACTAGAGGCATATAAACTGTTCAGGAAGGACAGGCAGGGGAGACGAGGAGG